CGGGACGGTGCCGGGGAGAAGAGGAACGGAGAAAGGAAGAAAGAAAGAAAGAAAGAAAGAAAGAAAGAGTGACTGTACGAACCGGGAGATGGTGAAAGAGAAAGAGGGAATGAAAGAAAGAGTCGAGGGATGAAGCGAGAGAGCGTGTACAGCGAAAGAACGAGGGAGAAGGGTAGAGGTGTAGGCTGGCTGGCTCGCTGGCTCTGGCTTCGAGGCTGCGTTCGTTCATGCGCCCATCCGCGCGCTCGAAGTTGGGACGAATGTGGCCGGTCGAGTCTCTCTAGAAGATGCGGCCAAATATTGCATCCACGGATAAATATAGGCGACACGGGTGCATAGGCCGCTCGTCGGTGTTCGCCACGGTGCCGCAGCCAACGCGCTCTTTTCTTCCCGGCCGTGTCTTTCGGACCCGGAGCGAGCACCGACGGCATTCCTCCTGCGGGGCTCTCTCTTTCCATGTGCGAGAGCGATCGTTAAATTCGTTTCGTGGCCGAGAACTTCGCCCGGCACGCTGCTGCTGCCTTTCCATTCTTCTTCGCCTCGCTTTCCGCCGCTACTCTCGCTCCGTTTTCCGTCCTTTCTCCGGTACACTTTTCTAGCCTTTTTTCCGCTTTCTCTGATCGCTATTAATACTTCGAAAACAAACATTGGAACAGTTCCTTCGGACACGTCGAAGTGTCGTCTTAGTAATCGATGCAATTACGATACCGATTTCAAGTATAGGTAAAGGGATAGTTCGCTCAAATAGAACGGCAAAGGGAAAATTTGGTATTGGTCAGACGGGAAAGTTCGTAGACCGGGGCTACGCGCGACAAGCGAGTCTGACGCGAATCTCATTCTACTTACGAAAGTTCGTGATTCGTTCGCACATTATCACGCTGCCGTTACGTATCGCGCCCGATAACGCGCAATCGGGTCAGCACAACGGTGCATTGTGAGCATCCGCAATAATGCGCGCTTTCTTCCGATATTAGTAAAAACTTTGTTTCCTCCTAAACGGAAAAATCTTCGTGAACGTATTTCGGTGACTGGATCGCTGGAAATAATGAGATGCGAAAAAAAGTCGACTCGCGGATCGCTTAATGGGAATGGTGACTTTTTCTTTGTGTCCGAGCCCCGACGAGCATTCTCGCAGCAGCCGCGGCTTTGTTTTCGCGGCGAGAGGGAAGAGAGCATAACCTTCGGAACAGGCGGGAGCGTGTCGCGGCTGGTGCACGTGGCTAGAACAGCAGCCAGGCATAGTCAGTGAAAATCATCGTGCGCGGACATTGGGTGGCGGGAAACGTGCGTGATAGCACGCCGCGGAGGGGTGGTGGGCCACGGAGGGAGGCCCTAATCAAGCCAGTGGCGTGAAACCTAACCTGACGCTGCCTCGGGGAAGGGAGGGGGGAACCGCGAGAGGGAAAGAGAGACGTGGAAAGAGAGAGAGAGAGGGAGAGAGAGAGAGAGAGAGAGAGAGTAGGATGCACCCTGTCGTGTCGCAGCCGCGAGGCGGCGGCCAGAGACAGAGGGAAGAGACACGGTTATCGCGGAAGTTCGGCAATTATAGGTGCCGAGTCGCGTTTTTTTTCCACGACTGATATTGATTTGGGAGAGGCAAGTTCGTATTCGTGGCACGAGCATACCTTGCGACTCGCACAGCCAGGCGGCCGGCAGCGCGATGCATCACGGCGCAAGGCCGCGCATCGAGGGGTACGTACATCGGAGCCAGAGGGAGCGAGGGAGGAACAGGGGGAGGATAAGGCGACCGGAGTGATCCCCACCCTGGGTGCTACTCTCCGCCGAAACCTCTCCCACCAATCGACACGATACACCCCACCTTGCACGCGGTATCAAACCCCTTCCACGCTGTTGCAACGGACATAACTACTCCTCTCCTGTTCCTCTCGTTCCCTCTTTCGACTCGTCCGTTCGTTCCATCCCTTTTCGACTCGCGTCCGGCGCGTCCTCTTCTCTGTACCTCGTTCTCCTCCGTCGCCGTCGCCGCCACTACCATTGCCACCGCCGCTACCACCACCGTCGCCACCACCACCCCCGGCGCTGTCGGCCAGGGGCGAGCTCCGACTTTCGCCGCCCTTGGATTCGGAAACCGATTTCTTGGCCGATGTGGAACGACCGAAAGAGGAATTTGCGCTGGAGAACCAAAGGGAGATGCATTTCTTCTCGTTTAGGTTCAGATCATTGGCTTCGTTTTTTCCGAGGGTACTAAGGGATGCACGAGAAGCAATTCTCGGAAATTATTCGAATCGGTTTAGCCCGAACCAATCGGGCGAATCGGCAATTACGCTCAGGAACAAAGTATAAATTCGCTACCGTCCAATTAACGAGCAGATCGAGAGGAACTCTCATTGACCGGCAATCGTCTGCATGCGAACGCGTTCGGAAATTTTGCCCGTCACGCTACCCCAATTTGCCGCACCGGTTACGATCCACCCGGGAGACCGAAGTGGAGAACAACCAGGGGACACGGATAACTTCGAAGTTTCACCTATTCAAACTTCCAAGAGCAAACGCGCCGTCTGCTCGCGAGCCTTTCTCGGGAGGAATAAATATTGTGTGCATCTTTTACGTGTCTTTCGACTATCGCATGGGAAATACATAAGCCTCGAGTCCGTCGTACGCTTCTTCACGCTCGGAGAGCGAGTTGAAATAATTTGGTACGAACTAGGATTAATTTTCATACATGAAGCGTGGTTCGGATAGTTTTGCAAGAAAGTTGGATGGTCGTAGGGGGGTTAAACGCGCGCGGCGCGCCGCTTGGAATCGGAGCCGCGTGAATCCGCCCCTGCCGCCATCACCACCGGGTTCGACGCCGGCACCTTCTCCTCTCCCGAGGACGGTGTATCTACCATCCCGAAGCCGAACCAGTCCAGAAATCCCCACTCCGGGATCGCGTACCGCGGCGACGGAAGTGTGGCAACGTCGCTGCTCGCCAGTGTCTCGGTCTTGGCGAGTTACTCGGGGGGGCTCAGGCCGAGTCTACCGAGTTTGTGTCTACCGGCGCGGGTAACCCGAAAGCGAGTGTGCCGAGGATCCAAAGTCGCGGGCCTCCAGCCGGCATGCGAGACCGTCTCGCTGCTTGAAGGCCGAAAAACCCGGGTTTAAAATTAAAAAAAAAAAAGAAGAAAAACGTGATCGAGCCGACCGGTCGACGAGGAGAGACGTGCCGAGAGTAAACGTGGGAGAGATTAAAAGACAAAGGGATTTAAGAAAGAAAATTTGGCAGTCGGTCGCGTTTCCGTTCCCCCCGACTTTAAACCGGCAAGTTTTTTTCACGGCCAGCCGATCGTCACCGTCGTCGTTATCATCGTGGAGCTGACTCGCGTCACGACGGAGGGATCGCGACAAAAGAGGCGGAGGAAGAGGAAAGAGAGGAAGAAGAAACGAAAGGAGCTGCGTACGGGACACGGGGCGACAATAACACGGTACACGTTCCGCGCGTTTGTCGTTTGTCACATCGCATCATCGAAAGCCCGCCGTAATCACGCGAACGTGCGCGCTTCGTGTCTACATTCACGCTTTGTACGCGACTCAGTGCGCGCGTGTACGCGTAAACGCGGGACGGACACGCGCGTGTGTACGTGAAGAAGAACGCAGGGTGAAGAGAAGAGGAGATATCTATATATAATATTATATACCAACACGGTGAAAAACGCGACGAAAAAACAGTGTAAATGGCGCTCTCCGCACAGAATCAGTCGACGTCGTACGTGAACTTGTATTACTCGATCGTCCAGCGTGCGGCGACACGCTACTTTAAGGAATATTACAACTCCGGTGAGTACCAACGATCGTGCGTCAAGCACGTTCGGATCCGTTCCCTTTGGTATTTAGAAAACGGAAGAGCCGATCGGCCGTGAAAGAAATCGCACGCATCGAATCGTTCGGCCACCTGTGCGTCGTCCACGTTTTGCCAAAACGACGACGTCATCGCGAGGCGCGCGCTGTGTACGCGCGGTTTCGAATTTTCCCGCCCTCCCTCCTTCCCTCGCTCCGTCGCCACACAACGCTACACGTGCACCCATACATGAACGCACGCACGCGCTCGTATCCGTGCATCGCACACGAGACACGCACGCATTCGCTCTGTTTCTCTTTTTTACCTCCGTCTCGTTTCACTGGCTGTCCCTGCCCGATCCACCGACTCCCCCGCAAATGTGTTCACATACACGCGTATACACACGCCGAGAGACGGAGAGACTACCGTTTCACCGGCACCTACTACCCACCGGAGAAGTGCTCCTCCAACACCGATTAAAACATGCCGCCGCCGGCTAGACACGTGCCCGCTTCTAAACTCGTGTGTGTTCCGATAGTACTTTACCTACTCCGTACGAGTGAGCGAAGAGAGAAATAGAGAGAGAGAGAGAGAGAGAGAGAGAGAGGGAGAGAGAGAGAGAGAGATAGGAATAGAAGCTCCGCGCGCGGTACCGAGTTTCTTCGTCGTCGACCGTCGCGACGGTCGTGGAGAACAGTGTTAGGACAAGACGGACTCCCGTGGGGTCGGAGTAATCGTGGACGGATCCAGAGAACCGAAAGAATCGCGGAGAGAAAAAAGGAGAAGGATAAACGAAACCGGATTCGTGGGGGGAAATCGGGGGACCCGAAAAAAGGGAGGACCGTGAAGAATCCCGGTATCCGTCGGTGCGATCGCGTCCGCTTTGGCGATTTGCAAAACGCGAGAAAGGAAGAACTGTGCGCGAAAGAGAGAACGTGATAGGGCGATCGGAGTGGGAGAGAAAGAACGAGCGAGAGAGGCTAAACAGCGTGGGGAGTGGAAGGGAGACGGAGAGACGAGACGAGAGAGAAAGATAGAGTGAGAATGTTTAATAGGAACGAGCGAGGAAGAGAGTGCGTGTGCTGATCCGCAAAATACGGTCTCGTTACACTATCGTCGGTGTTGGGTCATCTAATCGCCTCTGAAATTATCGTCTCGCCAGTGCCGAGTGACGAAATACGCTCTCTCCGGGAGCAATCAGTTTTCGAGGGTACTGGTTCGTCGGTGCCTCGGACGATCTCTCTACTACGGTCCCGGGCCGAGTCCTTCGGGTTCTGCTCGTTTCGATCGTGTTTATTACCGAGGAGCCCGCCCGTTCGTGTCCGCTCTTTTTCGTGTGTCACGGTGATCGGTCGCCGGTCCACGCGGACCTGCTCAAGGTGAACGTTGGCCTCGGAGAAAGAGTTCTGTGCGAGAGAAAACGAGAGAGAACGGTCCTCGTGAAATACGCGATTGCCCGGGATCGGCGTACGTGGTGTCCATGTGAACGCATCCCGAAAAACGTAAACGCGATGTTCGACGTGTGTCTGGGATGGTGCCAGTCGACGGTATGTTCGGGTGTCTCTGCGTCGGTTCGTTTGCATCGCGATACGTGAACAAAATCAGTGATCGGTAGTACGTAGTAGCTACTGGGTCGTTCATCGAACGCCGGTCGATCGTGCGGCGTGGCGAACACCGCTCGGACGATGCTCGCACGCTGACAAGAAAGAGAGTTTTGTTTCATCGCGGACGCTCGAGTGTTCTCTGTTCGATTCGAGGAGCCCCGCGTTCCAACGTCGTCCGAATATCGTGTTGCGCTTACTCTACCTCGGGGCTCGTGTTCTCGTTAAATGTCGAACGAAGAAGCGTTCTCCACGCCGCGTAACGTATTCCGGAGTCGATGTTTCGGATCCAAAAAATGCGCCACGAGTTCCGACCCCGGACTCGATCGTGTCGAATTTCGAGTCATTTTGGCGCCAGTGGCAGCGTTCACGGATACCTCCGCTTCTGTCTGCCTCCGTTTCTTACCGTTCATCGATGAACATTTCAAGTTTGGAAGGCTCCGAGGAAAGTTTTGGTGCAACCGTGATGAGAGAGAGAGAGAGAGAGAGAGAGAGAGAGAGAACTGGATCCTCGTGATAAAAAAAATAACTACGTGCTCGCCTCGCGTAACCAATGAGCCTTTCCATTTGCTCGCGTTCTATGAATCCGTCGAATTGTAATCTAGTTTTGCGAAAAAAAGAGTCACGCGCACGACGGACGGAGAGGCAGAAAAAATACGAACGTGGAGCCAGAGAAACGGAGAGAGTGAGAGCTACCCAGCGCGGCGAGGGTCGAACGTTATCTCTGCTGTAGGTTTATCGTGATATTCCTCTTTGCCGTAGTCATCGAAACAGGATCATTTTCGCCAGTTGACATGACGAGGATATCGCCATCGGCTGGTGATCCCGGATCGTTATTGGACGATATAAAGTCAATCGCTGCGAATAAAACCATCGGTTCTCGTTTAGCCCGGCTTCCCAACTTGGACCAGCAGAACTACACATGATCGGTCTGTGGAACTTTGCTTATTCCAGAGGTACTTGTCTCGCACGTACAACTTTTCAGTCGACGCGAATAATCCCTCTTCAACGTTCTTTCTTTACCCGCGCCGATTCCTTCTTCCTTCATATATTCGATTACTTTAAAACCAGCTGCACCGACCCGGAGTATTTATCGAACACGCGTCTCTATCGACTCGCGCTCTCGTTCGCATACAATTATTAAACACGCGATAAAACCCCCGCACGAATCATTTTATACAATGTTACCATTTAAAGAATTACATAAAACATCGCATTCGATTACTCCCAAACCTCGTCTCCGCTAACTTTACTCGAGTGTGACCTCGGGCGAACGCTCTGATAATTTTCACTGATCAACCAATTGATAATTTCCCTTCTCAGACGTTTAACTGTCCGTCGGTTCAAATGTACGGTCTAACAAAAATACACTTCGCCGAATTTAATGGAAGAATGAAAAAAATACGCGAAGCTAATACATAGTTTCATTTCGGAGCCAGCGAGCAATCCGTTTCCATGAGCATCCGCGGCGCGCGGCAACGGGAGAGTAGCGAGCCGCGCCAGATAGAGAGAGGGACACGCGTATATATTTGTAGAATAAACGTCGACGGGTTTATCGTGTGACTTCTCACGATAAGAGGAGAGCGGGAGCGTTGCTCCGTATCAACGAGAACGTAAGAATCGACGCTGCGTGTTTGCGTGCAGAAAATCAGGGATCGGCCGCGGCGGGATGCTGATTCGATTCCTCCCGTTCTTTTTTACGCGAAAGAAACCCGTCGTTGCCACGAGACTCGCGTCCTTACTCCCCCTTTCCTTTCAAGTTCGCCGAATTGTTTTTTTCCTCTCCGGAGCCCGAGATAAATCGTTGATTTATCATCGAGCATAACGCGCCGCCAACGTCGCGCGAGGTTCAACCTATCGCTGCCACGATCTTGCTTAACCCTTTGACATTCTGTCTGAACGAAGAAGCCGAGAATCTCTAATCGATTACGATTCTTCATATGTAACGTAGATTATATCATCCTCTACTACACGCTTGAATCAGAGCAGAATCGATGGAACCACGTAGTTCTGCAGATTCGATCAAAATTACCGTGTGACCTACAATACACTTGTTACAGAGTTTGTGTTTGTAGTCGAGGCGCGAAAAAGGTCCGGCTGACGTTGGATGTCCATGTTTTCGTTGCGTCTAACGATTCTGATGAGCCAGTTGTTATTAAAATACAGAGAAAACAAAGAACGGTGCGATTGCTTACGGATAGAAGTGGCCGATAGTAGACCTTACGAAGATAGTGGAACACGTTCCTTTAATACGCGCGAATACCGGCTGATAGATGCGGGAAGAGGAAGGAAAACGGGGCCTCGATCGAACGGAATAAAGTTAGTTCGGCGTCGCGCGCTCACGTCTCAGACGCGACGAGACGAAACGCGGGATAGCGTGAAAGAAAAAGGTGTCGAGGAATCCTTTCTACCGTGCGCGCAGCCTTTCACCGATGGGACCACTCCGTTCGAACACCGCAGCGTAGACATATATATTCCAGTTTATACGCGAATATTCTATATAGCAAATGACAGCTACTATTTTTACAATCTCCTTTTTACGCGGCAGACTCAAGGATAGACTAAAAATCGAAACCGTGAAGGTCCGATTCGAATGGAACGGGAGACAGCGGGGTCCTCGACAAAAGTATTAAAAAACACAAAGCTCCTACGGGATAGAATAATAAAAGATAGAACAAAGCCGGAAGAGAGGAGGGAAAAAAAAGCTAGGCGACGTTTCGGGGCGTTCGTCAATGCGTGATAGAACAGAGGGGCGTAGAGGGGCCGCTCGTTTGCGGGGGGAGGGGGGGTTTGCCTCGACGAGTGTTAACGCGCTCGCGCCGCTACACCCCGTCTCGTTTCTGTCTATTTTTCTGAAAACAAACATTCGATCTGACGAGCTATATAACACCGATGGAATACTAGAGAAGGGCCACTCGTTCCTCGAGCACCCTTCGCGCCGCCATCGCGGAAAGTTATGTTTTTGTTGCGCTCGATTCGGTGTTTTTTCGTCTCGTTCCCTTACCGAGTGCCTATACATCGCGTACGCGCGCAACACGTACACACGGCACCGGCCGCTGTACGTACTCTCGTCTGCTGGGTCCCCGGTAGCCCCGCTCGATACGAAAATGGGCCGTAGGTATTCCCCCTCGCACTCGATAAATAGCGAGGAATGTTTGCTCTTGCAAATGAATGTTTTCCGCGAGCCACGAGTGATTTTAACTCCTGAGTGCGCGTCCTGCCAATACGTTTCTCTCTGCTACCCCTGCAGTCGCGCGATCGACCGAGCGCTCTTTTCTCATCCCCCTCCGATAAACCGCGTTGATGAAGAATAACAGAATCGTCCTGCTGATCCGCGGGATCTTCCGGCAACTTATTCCTCTCCCCGTCGAACACTTTTCAACGATTTCGTTCCGCGAATTCTTGTCAAACGGACAGTTACTCTTCGTATTCTACGCAGAACATAATCAATGAGTATCTCGATGACGAGTGGCGAAACGACGAGTGTATACCGTGTCGCACGAATTTCCACGGGCTCTCGCGAACAATGGACGCATTCTGACGTCGGTTCGTCGGCTAAACTTAGCCCCGACGCGAGATTAAAAGGTACATTACTCATACTCGTTAAAAGGGACTCATGAATGATTCCTTGTAAATAATCATCTGAGCTCGGGTGTTGCGAACCTCGTTTCAATGCGAACAGCCCTAACCTGCCTATCTCGTTTAGATTTGTGAACTTTTCCTGACGATCAGGGAAATTCTTGATTTTTTTTGTTCGTCAAATAATACGAGTATATTAGAAAATGATTGTTTCATTTCACTGTTGATATGCTCTTTTCTATCGTAAGATTCATTCACGCTTATTTAGTCTCGACCACTCTATATAATAGATAATGTCTGTTCATTGTATCCAAGAATGAACAGATTAATGGATACGACTGAATCGAAGAACAGAATCGATCAATTAGCCTTTTCAGTCTACCTTGCTCTTTCCCAACACTCGTGCAACGTTACGCTCTGAACCGAAGGCAACGGCATGAATGAAAACAGCTTCGAAAACGAGCAAAACGATAGTCCTGGCCGGGGCGATTGTAATATTTCCAGCAGGTGCAGGTGTTACGGGACGATTAACTTGCCCCGTGTTCGGATTCTCTGTGTAGCCAGACGGCTGCGCCGCGCCGGGAGGAGCCGCGTTATCGGCTGGTAAACGGCCATTTCTGTTTCTGCTCACGCGGCGAAAGTTCAATATGCCGAGTCGCGTGCAGCCGCGGGTATTGTTATCCGCGTACGATTAAATCAGCCGCGTTCGCGGAGAATCTTAAGCGCCAGCCGCAAGAAACGTGGCCGCGCAAGGACGCGACTAAATAACCGATCCGCCACCCCCTCCGCCGACGACGCAGCGAATGAAAATGAGCCGTGCATGGACCTCCTTCCATTTTTTCTTCTTCTTACTATTTCTTGTTCCTCTTCTCTCCCGAGTTCAACGATATCGCAGTGGCTGTGTCTTACATTGTGACGAGCCACTCGACCGATTCCGGATGCCCTTGTCTAAGCGGGAAATCTAATTCGAAAATCCTCTT